AAGTTCACAGATTAGTTGTTAAGATTAGACTTTAGTTGTGAAGCGTAAGGTTTTGTTGTTAAGGTTACAGATTGGTTGTTAATGTTAAGCTTTGGTTGTGAAGCTTAGGGTTTGATTGTTAAGGTTATAGATTGGTTGTTATCCTTAGGTATTGGATATGAAGGTTAAAGGTTGGTTGTTAACCTTAGGGATTTGAGCTTCTTAACATTTTTAATAGTGTATATTTGTTTGTGTGTAAGTATGACTGCGGGACCTACGTCTACCTGTTTATAAAAGCTATTATTGAAGGTAGAAGCATTCTGCACCTCACACCCAAAGAGCATAACACATGAGCCATACAAGCGAAGCTAGCAGCCTATTTACTAATTGAAGGTTGGAGGAGGAAAAAAGATCTCAGTGTACTTGACGATGATGACATTGAAAGAAGTTCTGTGTTATAGACTATTATTGTTGAATGCATGTAAGTAATTATTGTAAATATTATAAATATAAATACTTAATTGTTTATGTCCTGTAAGTAAGTTTATGGGGAGTAGTCTATTGGTTGTTTAGGTTACGGATAATTTATGGGGAGTAGTCCATTAGTTGTTAAGGTTACGGATAAGTTGTTAAGCTTTAACTAAGCCTTAACCATAACAATTTATCCATTAGCATAACTATTTAAATGTAGGCAGGATAACTTAAATCATAACCATGACAATGAAACCATAACCTCAACAACAAAGCCATAATCATAACAACTAAGCTATAACCATAACAACTAAGCGATGACCATAACGACTAAACAATAACCATAACAACTTAGTCATAACATTAACAACCAATCCATAACCTTAATAACAAAGCCCTAACCTTAACAACCAATCCATAACCTTAATAATCAATTTATAACCTTAATAACCAAACATAATATTATCAACTAAGGTGTAACCTTAATAACGTTGCCTTATACTTAACAACAAAGCCATAATCTGAATGCACAACATTATAATAGACATTCCAAAATGGTATCATCCAATACATATTGTTAGCTACTAATACAAAACGTTACTAAATAATACATATGTTTAGCAACTAGATAGGCTCGTTGCAAGTTTGTCGATTGTGACCTTCCATGTGGCATCTGGAGCACTTAACAGGACAGGTGTTCAACGACCTATTGTTTATTTGTCTAGTACATGGTCTTTCATGTTTTTTTAGTAAGAGAGGCTTTAACAGACAATCTTCTGGCGATACAACACGCTTCTCGTAATCTGGAATATAAAAGAAGATTGGTTTATAAGTTGCTCTGAATGCTTCAACCGTCATAAACCAATCATAATATTGATAAATATCTCGTATCATCTAAGTAATTGCAGCACAAGCGTGCTTGCAAGGAATGCGGACGATATCCCAAGACGTGCATGAATATGTCCGATTCTTTAAATCTACACAGCAAGTTTTATTAGATTCAACCTTCACAATATCTTCTGTCAAATGTTTAATATGCAAGCAGCTTCATGATGAATATTATCACTCAACACTATCTTCGCTTCTGGACATAATTTTTCCAGACCATTTCGCTGTCATAAGCTTTCTTTTATGCATGTGCTATATGACTTGCTTTCGTATCGTCTTCACCAAAGGTAAGATTCATAACATTCGTGTCTTTCTTATTCAACTGTTAAAGGACTCAGCAACGTTCGAAGTTTCATAAGTTTGCCTGTAACCTTAACAACTAAGATGTAAGCATAACAACTAAGACGTAACCTTAACAACCAAAAACCTAACATTAACAACCAAACGGTAAACTTAATAACAAAACTCTAAGCTTTACAACGAAATGGTAAACTTAACAACAAAACTCTAATCTTAACAACCAAAACCTAACCTTAACAATGAAAATGTAATCTTAACAACAAAACTCTAACCCTAACAACCAAAATCTAATCTTAACAATAAATCTGTAGACGTAATAACAAAACAGTAACCTTAACAACAAAATTGTACCCTTAACAATTAAAACCTAACCTTAACAACAAATCTGTAGACTTACTATAACCTTAACAACTAAAATGTAGCCTTAACAAATAAAGTTTAAAAAATTTTATCATACTTATACCATGGAAATAAGTGTTTGCCCATCTCTCCGGGGAGTATTCTATTATAGTAACGTAAGCTCTTTGATCAATCGATGTCAATTCTTGCTTATAATCATCCCATTCGAAAAATGTGTACTTATAAGCCACGTTTTGTAATAAATCACCCAAAATTTGAGCGACATTTGCCTTGTGACTCAACTCCTTCTTCTTCTTCTTCTTCTTCTTCTTCTTCTTTTTGAAATTCTCGACTAGATGCAGAACACACCTTGAATGGAAAGCATTTGGAAAGAATTCCTCGACTGCTACCCTAATATCCTTGTCAGCATTAGAAATCATTACCAGTTGATGTGGAGGATTGTAAGGATTTTCTCTATCATGTAGTATCGTCCACACTCCTTGTAAGAAACATTTTTAATTATCCTCATTCTCCTGGTCGCATACGCAATAAACAAGAGGAAATATTCCTTAGTTACAGTCATATCATATTGTACTAAGTAGTATACCTTTGTAGCGGTCTTTAAGAAATGTTCCATCCAAAAATAAGAGAGGCCTACATCCAGCAACGAACCCTTCAATACAGGCATTATAACTTATGAACAAACGTCTCAATAGCGTCAATAGCAATACGACTTCTTGGATTAGTTGCTAGAACTATGGCTTCGTACCTGTATAAATATAAAAAGTAATCAGTAATATTACCCTCATTATTGTAACCTAAACAATAAAGCAGTAACTTTTGCAACTGATTCATAACCTTCACAACAAACTCATAAACGTAACGACCAACACATAAACTTAACAACAAACACATAAACCTAACAACCAACTGATAGTCCTAATAACCAACCCGTAATATTAACAACCTATCAATAACCTTAACAACCAATCCATAAACTTAACAACCAACACATAACATTAACAACCAATCCATAACCATAACAACCAACCTATAACCTTAACAACCAATGCATAAGATTAACAACCAAAATATAAGGTTAGCATCCGATACATAATCTTAACAACTAAAACATAAGGTTAGTAACCAATACATAACCTTAATAACTAAAATATTAGGGTAAAAGAATGTACAATCTTAGTGAATCGTAAGCCTCATCATCGTCACCGAACAGGTCCTATTGTGCTCTCTCTTTGCTTTGCCACGCTTTACAGTAGTTAATCTTAATGTCATAATATGAGAACAAGTCGTTCTTAATATCAATTGACGAAGATCTAGCCTAACCTTCAAAACAGATTGTATTTGGCTTACAATAAACTTTCTTGATGCCCTTGAGTTGCCAGCATTAGCTCCATGCTGACTGCAAGTGTGGGTAAAATAGAAAATTTTTATAGACATAACTGAGGAATTTCTGAGTGGTGAAGCAAACAACATCCAAGGGCAATCCAGCGTGTCCCTGAATCGGCAATGGACTCTTATACATCTTTGTGCATTATAGTAAAAATCATACTCAAACCTTTTCACAATTGAGTAGTATTAAAGTGCTAATCTAACTTCAGCAGCACTATCAAATTTCTGACCAATTTCACGTATGGTTGTGTGCCACTCAGCTGTGATATTGGTTTGGTTGTTAATCATGTCTTCCATTATCGTGATCGGGTCACCACTGGATTGTCATTAGGAATACGCTCATCATTACATGTTTGGGTGAGCGTAGTAGCTGTGCATCGCGAATTTTCTATCGGGATAGTCATGTAAAAGTAAAAAAAAATATTAATACTTAACAATTAACCATAACCTTACAACCATCTCATAAGGCTAAAAAAATACATAAATATCTGGTAAGGTTAACAACTAAATCATAACCTTAACAACTAACTCCTAACCTTAACAACAAACTCATAACCTTAATAACAAACTCATAAACTTAGCAACAAACTCGTAATATTAACAACAAACTCATAACCTTACCAATCAACTCGTAAGCTTAACAGCAAACTCATAACCTTAGTGACCAACTTAAAACTATTTAATAAAGGTTGACAACCAATTCATAACCTTAACAACCAACTAGTAACCTTGACAACCAACTCATAACCTCTGCAACCAATGCATAATTTTAACAACCAACTCATAACATATCAACGAACTCATACGAAAATTAAAAGTGAAATCCTTACATATTTTCTGGAGAAGTTTGGTGTTCCGAGAAGTTGAGGATTCCCCAGAGGAAGTAACATACAAGTTTATGTCTGTAAATCCGTTACGACGACAATACTCAAATATCAACCTCAAGTCGTCGTTATTATCAATTAAAAATCTGAGCTTCTTTTCCCTTTCGGATATGAATTTCAGTGAAAGAGATTGCAATGACAGTTTAATCATTTGGGACACTTGATATTTCAAGCTAATGATTTATGTAGACTCGTTGATAACAACGAAGACACTCTCACCCTCTTCGTTGTTTTTTGTATTTGTAACCATGCAAAGAAGGGATCCATCTATCATTTTAAAGAAAAGCAGTGGAAGAATCAAAGAGGATTTATTGAGGAGAATTAAGTGGTCGGGAGAGAGTAATTGGGGTAAGCAAAGGGGGAGGAGATGGATTTACTGCAGGGGAGGAAAGGAAATAGTTAGAATTTGGAGGGAAATGAGGTTTTTTTCCTTCAAAACCACTTTCTAATCACCATTTAATGCCTGCAATACTACTGCTTACTCTTCAATAACCGGCTTGATAGAGTGACTGGTTGCATGTCACATGGGGAAGGGTTTTGGGAGCTAAAGGAATATTGGAATGATTTTGGTGAGCTTTGAGATAGTTGAAAAAGTCTTGAGGGGGAGAAGGGAATACTTGTAATGGTTTTGAGGGCTAGAAGCAATTTTCCCAATAGAATAACAATAGACAAAAAGAAAATCTCATACAAGTGACAATCTCCATCGGTTCTCTCTCCATAAAGGTTACAGTCTTCATTTCTTTCTCTACAAAGGCCCAAAATATGGGTTTCAACTAATCCAACACATTTCTCAGCGCCCCACATTCTTCCTACTCTACTCAAGATCCCTCGGCATCGCTCTCCAAATATTCCACCTCTCTTCTTCTCTCTATTCAACAACCTCCCAATCTTATATATCTATTTCACTACCAATGAAACAATACTAAAGCACAAGCTACAATCGCTGTAACAACCATGCACCCAATGCTTTTCTTTCTTCTATCCTCCATCTCCTTCTTCCTCCTCCTCCTCCTCCTCCTCAAAAACCCCCTCCCTCTTAAACTTCCTTCATGGGTCAATGAATTAAGCCTTCTCTCTCTTCTCCTCTGCAAAGAATCCTTAGCCCATCTCATCCCTCACTTAAAGAACTACAAATTAACCATCACCCACATCTTCAAATTCTCATACACAGAATTCACCAACAGGAACAGAGTGTCAAGAACTGAGGAACTTGGGGTACACGCGGAGCTAGATAAGGCGACGATGACGATATTGGATCTACCGGAATTACCCTTAGACTTGATTCTTGGGAAGTTGGCTCCAGTGGAACTGTTGAACGTGACGGAAGTATGCACATATTTGAGAGATATTGCCACTAGAGATCATCTCTGGGAGAGACATTTCAGTGAGAGATGGGGAAGAATAATAAGCGAATGTGCGAGAAGAGAATGGATACATTTTGTTTCGGCGAAGGAGAGCAAGAGGAATGAGAGTGCAGGTTGGCTATTAGAGATTCTCTCTTGCGTGTTGCCTTGTTCTTGGTTTATGTCTCCAAAGGCCGAGAACAATTTGAAGAATAGTGGCTCTGTTATGGCTTGGTATCTTGCACTTGAGAGCGGGAGATTCTCGTTCCCCGCTCAAGTTTATAACAGAGAGGTATATATTTGGTATCATCATGGTTAATTTCTATTGATTTCAAGGAAGCTTTTGTTTAAATTTTGGGGGTTTTTTTTTCAGCTCATTAATGGACATGTTGGATTTGTGCTTTCATGCTATGATGCTGAGTTCAGTTATGACGCTCGTACGGATACCTTTCACGCAAGGTAAAAATTTAGGGTTAATTGCGGTAAACCCCTTATAATATCGCCCAATTGCTGACAGCCCTATGTAGTTTTACTATTTCAGATATACCCCTCTTTTTTTATTCTTTTACCGTCAGGAGTTCTATTTGTCAATAAACAAATTTCTTTTTCTCTAAGAGTAAAGGAGTTGAAAAAACTCACTCGCTATCTCTAGCAATAGAACCACAGAAGGCCTATCTACAATTGGGGGATAGTACAGGGGTCTATCCACAACCAATGTTACATTAAACGCTGGGCGCTTCTAGGCGTCGGACTTGGCGCCCAGCGCTTAGTCGCCTAGGCGGGCACCTAAGCGGTTTCTGGTCGTTTATTTTTCTTTCTTCATTTAAGTGGTTATCGATGAGGTTTTGCTGAAGGTCGGAAGAGGTAGTGGAGGTGTTCATATTTGGAGGTTAATGGAGTTTGGAGGACGTGTAGGCTATGACTCATAAAATCACAATCAATGCCTAAATACCGCCTGCCTAAATACCGTCTAAATACCGCCTAGGCGCTAGGCACTAGTTAGGCGGCCTAGGTACCGCTTAAGCCTAGGCGTACGCCTAAGCGGACTAGGCGGAGATTTTTTAAAACAGTGTCCACAACTAATCCAAGAATTCAAGTGGCGGAAAATAGACATTATAGCATTTTGATGAATGCCTCACTGACATGAATTAAACACGAGACGAGGCATTTTAAGTGGCAGAATGCCCTTGTTAGCTATTGCAGAAAGAATCATTGTATAACTTAAGATATGTCATATACTTGTAGAAAAATTCACTGTAATTTGATAAAACACCATGTTGACGGTGTATGGACCTTATTCCCTTTAGATACCCATCACACGGAAAAAGGGTTACCGATGTGGAGGAAGGAGTGAAATGGGATAGAATAAGAGCACCTCCTATCGATACTCCTCCGCACGATCTTCATATATCCAACTGTTTAAACGACCTGCGACCAGGTGATCATATCGAAATTCAATGGAGAAGGAACAAAGAGTTTCCATATGGTATGTATTTTGAGCAATAGCCTTAGAATTTTTTGTCATCAACGTTTGAGAAAATAGTATTCAGATTATTTATTGATTTTTTTTCAACATTTTAATATATTGGCAGGATGGTGGTATGGAGTTGTAGGTCATTTAGAGTCCTGTGATGGAGATGAGCATCAGTGTCATTGTTACGATAGCGGTGAGAAACTAATACAGTTGTCTATAAGCGTAGAGGCTTTGTCAATCTTTTTCGTTGATGTTTAGATTCTATAACTCACTATTTTCTTGCCGCTGTTATGTTGTGAAGATACTATAGTACTAGAATTCAACCATTACTCGTCGAGCTCAAGATGGAGGAGGACATCTGTAGACAGAAAACATCACAGGGAAGAAGGGAATGAAGCATATGGATTTTATGGAGGAATCAGAAAACTTTACGACGAGCATGAGATATCAATATGGAAACAGTTGTGGCCAACAGAGATACTTGAATAGAATTTGCAATTACCACGAGATATCGATAATGGAAACAGTTGTGGCCAACAGAGATACCTGAATAGAATTTGCATTTACCACATCAATTCAGGTACTAGTTAAATGTAGCTTAAATTCAAGAATAAAGCTCAAACTTGATGTATGTATTAATTTAGCCGTACTGTTCCACATCTATTTGTAATATGAAACTCCTTTTATGCAATAAAACTGGTTACCGACTTGAGTCCAGACCAGAAATCTTGTCTGTGAAAACGTTCACTAGTGACATTTCAGTATATGATTTCTTTTTACAGTAGTCATGGTGAATTTCTTGCATGTCAGTACCTAATTCTAAAGGTCTAAGCTCGAGCAATTTCAAGTTCATTTATATATTTATCTTATATGTGTAATCATAATTTATATTACCAAGAGCAACGACTATGACACCTTCAACCATGTTTCAGTTCTATCCAAGCTCCTCGCCGATGCGTATGAAGTCCTTCTAAATCACGCCAGCTAAAAGTACAGTTAAATAACGGCATCAACTGGATGCAGAATAAATATATGAATAATAAGAGAACCTGACTGTTTACTCGAGCAGAAGCGCTGAAAAACAAAAAGAAACTCAAAAAAAAAAAATCCTTGTAAAAAAAACTCAATAGGCTTGGAGTAACTCCCCTCTTTTATGTATATACAATTGCCACTATGGCATTTTGGCTGGTGGATATAAATACAGAATTAAGTATTTTTCTTATACAAACCGAGTTCGAAAAACTAGTGAGCATATAAAGAACAATCTCACACGTGAATGTCGAAAAAAGGATCTGCAGTTTGGCCGTAAAAGATAATTATTACTGAAAGCATAAGCATATATCTTCATGACACCAGAGTGCTCGTATTAACAAACAACCTCCACAACATCAATTACCCAAGAGTATATATTTTTATGTATCTTCCAGTTCCGATGTAGTAGATAATGTTAGGGCAGTTCTTTGCTAATATCAACCTTGTTCTTATGAATCTGGAAGGCTGGAGTGATCCAGCTGCCGCAGCTGCACTGAATGCCAGCCCAGTTGAAGTACCCTAAGCGAGCATCACATTTGACGCACGTCAGTTTTCCTTCCAGTGCGCCCTCTTCAACTGCCGTATAACAGAACAGGACACAACAGTTAGTGCTTGGGTTAGTTCGGCAAAGAATTATGTGAAAAAGGATATGCACGGGCATCTATATCACTCAAGTATCATGACTGGCAGCAATTACCTTGAGTTATCATGTGTTGGAATTACTTTTGGAACAGTTTTACCTAAATATAACTTCTACATTACCCTTTTCAGTCCAAATTTAGACTCTACAGTCTATATGTTACGCCGTTTATGTGAATTCCCAATAGTTCTGAGGGTTTACTATATAAAAAGTTCAGGATGTTTTCTTTAGTTTTCTTTTTTCGAGCACAGGGGGTAGTGGTTGGGCAGGATGTTTTTTATTATGGGTGTGGGGTT